ACAATATCATTACTTAAGTTGCCTCCCAAAAAGTTGTGTTAAACTATACCACTTTTGAAGTGTTCATGAGCAGAGGACAACTTTCAGGTACACATGTCTGTGACCTTCCTTCATCTTCTAGTTTTATGTGTAAACATCACGTGACGAATTTTTTCTTATTGATTTCTCGACTTGAAAGTGGAATTAATCCAAATGCTGGAGAATTTAGTTATCTGCCGTTATCTAGAAATAGGCAGGTTGTCTTGAATAATCTCTTCCCTAATTTAAAGCTCAAAATGTCTGGAGTTTGTGAGTTATATTGCGTCATCGCGTTGCGCTGCAAAAATCTGCAATGGCCATGGTGGAAATGAACGCCAGACTTCGTGTTGCACAGAACGGATGTAACATATTAAATTTATAAGAAAGGCTTCTAAACGTATGCGTAGCATTGATGCAATGTTGTATTTGAAACCTGAACTTTTTAAATTTCGGATTACTTTGACTTCTTTTCAACTCCAATGTAAAGTCAGTGCTACTATACGGATCAGAGACCTGGCGAGTCATAAAGAGCACCTCAAACAAATTACAGACCTCCATTGACAGTTGTCTTCGCTCAATACTCAAGATCAGATGACCGGCCAGAAAAGATCAGAAACAGGGATCTCTGGCAATGAGCGAACCAACATAGCAGGAACCGATTGTGAAACAAATAGGCAGGAAGAAATGGAGATGGATTGGCCATACGCTGAGGAAACAAACCATCAAGTGACATCACTAGACAAGCCATCGCTCGAGTGGAACCCGAAAGGGGTGTGGCGAGTTGGTCGTCAGTGCAAGGGCGATTTGGAGGAGGTCATGCGAGGAGGAGATGAAAGCATGTGGACAGACCTGGAGCGGAGTGAAAAAGTTGTCAGAAAACCGAAGGCAATGGAGGTGCGCAGCTGAAGCCCTATGTTCCTCTAGGAACTAAAGGATACAATAATAACAATAATAATTGACTTCTCCTGCATTATTCACATAATGAATATGTTTGATTGAATCTGTAACGTTTTTAATGAGATATTGATCTTTTTGAACGTATTTCAGAGCAGTCGGTTGTTTTGCATTCTTTCTAATTTCAGTCGTGGAAGAATTCCAATTGTGACCGATTGTTGTTCCTATACTGCTTACAACTACATTAAGTGTGAATTTTGTTTAACCATGCAAGAAACTATAAAGACTCATGCAACTTAGTTTTGGAAAATGCAAGTCAATTATGAGATCTTTCGGGAAATGCTCGGACTAACACTTTTCTGGAGGACAGAAGATGACAAAATCATTTAAATATCTAATGGAAATAAAGGATTGACAATCTTACGAGTACTTGGATCTTTGGGCTTCTGGACTGTGATTTATATATCGCCTGGAGAAGATACGCAAACCAGATTTTTGATAAAGAACCATACTATCAGCTGTGAATTCCCTCTTCAACAAATTTCCTCGCTGGTTGGTGGAAAATGGGGGGAATGTTTGTTAACAGCCGGCTAAACGAACACTGAAGGACTCATTTCGATTCGCTGAAAATGTGAGTCAACTTATGTGCAAGAAATTCACTGTCTCCTTTGACATCTATATCATTCTCCATTCATGTAGCAGTCGACATCATCTGTCAAAATGCTAATCCCCCACCTCTGCAAAAACGTGAATCTAAAGAAATTCCCATATTATTTAATTGAATTTTAGATTTTGCCGTCGAATGATTGGACCGAAGTGCTTGGTCTCAGGTTGACATGTCAGCTCCTTGTGCAGATGCTTCGACGATGTCTGAGCACATCCAACTGAAGAGTCCAAAGTAGGACAAAATGCGCATCCTGGATTCCACTGATAGTCACCGTCCGCCAATTAAATTCTAATTACATGCCCAGACATCGTCGAAGCATCCTCATAAGAAGCCGACATGTCAGTCTGAGACCGAGCACTTCGGTTCAATCAATCGATGGGAAAATCTAAAAGTTCAATTAAATTAATATGATCTGTTGCACAAGAGTTGGGTCTCGTGGCCCAAGTGGTCTAGTGGATAACGCTTTGGCGTTTGAAACTAAGATCAATGGGTTTGAGCCTTGGTGGGAACATCATCACTCACTGGGGAATGCAGGTATATCCAGATGAGTAGTCCTAAATAGGACGAAATGCGCATCGTGGATTCCACTGCTAGTCACCATCCACCAATTTAATTCCCATATTATTACTCACCAAGAATACACTATTTCAGTTCTACAACGTATGTATTATCTAAATGACTGATTCAAATCTGATAGTATTAGGAGTCTTGAAAAGACAAGGTTTTAATTTGTAATTGGTGAAACAGCAGCCTATCGTGGATAAGAAGATGGCATATTCACTGTATGCACTGATCTGAGTCATGCATCTTATCTACTTGAGTTACTGAGCAATGCGCATGAAGGCATCATTTTCACAATAGAACACGAAGATAATGTCAGATAAGAATTCTGTAATAACTTCCAATAGAAAGCAATATCTTGGACACTTTGAAGTGCTATTTATTACAAAGATATATGAACTGATTTTTTAATGGGTCTCTTTACCTGTAAAAAATATCACTGGTGAAGACTTTGCACTGTAGTTCAATAAGGAAATGTTCAGCAAAGAAATTAAACAGTGAAGTTATGATACTTGAAAATGCTGGGGAGTAAATTCCTGTTAAGTCTTTTCTGTCCTCTTCTTTAACACTTTCCAATTTCTATTCAGTCCTAAACTACCTATATATATATATATATATATATATATATATATATATATAATTTATCATTTTGTTGCTTCGTCACCTTGGTTCTTGATTTCCATTGTAATTTATCTCACTCACATTCAACTTCGTCTGGTTAAATCACCTTCCCATAGTTAAACTGTACTTATCGGATATTTCTGTCAATGCTCCACACTCTTCTGAACACTGTTTATTCAAAACTGATTGTAATCTGCCTGTATATTTGAGCCCTGTTTATAACCCTATTGAAGCCGTATTTCTGTTTGATACAATTTACTAAGTTTTCCTCATTTACTTACAATGGTAGTTCATTTAACACTACACAGCCTAGGCACCTCATAAAAACTGACCCATGAGTTCAAAAGAAATCCCTCCTAAAAATTCAGTTACCCTAGTATCTCCCTTTTTGGTCACTCTTTTTCCTTGGATTACATACTTTGTTTTCACCTAATTTCAGAATCTTTCAGTTCTTCTCACGGTATTGCGTTATCATATTTTTGTCATTCTTCCTATACATCAAATTTTGATTCTTCCATTTTATGAATACTACTCACTGTATTTAATTCTGTTCTGATGCGGAACTGTTACTGACTTATCACGTTCTAAGCAGCTAAAGAGGATCACTTAGTAAGAATGTATCCGTACCATTCTGTACCTATATTTGCTTTTCCTTATCCAAATTTAAAAAAGGAAATTTGTGTGCGAAGAACATAAAGTTATTTATAACTGCCTATAACTCTACCTTAAGAGTTGCAAGGGGAGAGTTGTAGATGAAGAGACTTCTGACAGCCATTCACCTGACTTTACGAAAAATGTGTAGTAAATAATCGCCTCACTTTTGCGCAGGTCACTTAATGCTGATTCTTCAGCTTTATAAAGCTTACCAACTACTGGCTACAGTTCAGGCTTAACAAACACAAGATTAATATTAAGCAGCTTTCCCTACTGATTGCATTCTATCAGGATATGATTGCAAATCTTTCCCTGTAGAAGCAGGATTCAGGTGTGATGGGCATTTATTTATGTCCAGTTTTGTAGATACTGAAGATATTTCTCGACAAAGATGGTATCCAGACCTAAAAACACATTTCTTCTTCTTATATATATTTATTTATTTTTATTTTTGATTACAGCTTGATTCCACACTGTATTTTTGGTACACGTATAGAATTTTCAGCATGGATATCGGTAGCCCAAATTTTGCAGGCCGACCATAGATATCAGGTGTGCGTCGACAGGGGATCGAACCTCGGACCATGTGCATGGTCGGCGAGAGTCCTAACCACTATGCCACCGAGGCACAGAGTTATTCAGAGTTATCGAAATCTGCTTGGATTATCACACTATCGAGGCCAAACTATATGAAGGCTAAATTAGTACAATTATTGATATTTGGGTTTTTTATCATTAAGGGGAAAATCAATACGCTGTACTTATTCTTTTCAATAGTATGTGTTGAACATTGAAATAAAACCTTTTCCACTGATAAACTGATCATCATTTATTCATTCGCATCTAAGACTTTGTGACATCTTAGTGTAATCTTGAAATGATCCTTCAGCAATTCAGGTTTCTTCCCCACAAGTACCAATAATCACTGCTACAATCATTTCCCTGATCCTCCACTGAAATATGGTGAAACAAAGGCTGAATCCTGATACACTTGCAGTCTTGGTCTCTTCCGGTACGCAAGTGCAAGTGTTGAAATAGATTAATAGCGGTTAACCAATATATTTCTAATTTGACAGAAGTCCTAAAAATTTGCTTCAATTTATTCTTCCATGAGGTTGGTTTATTTTCTATACTGGTATGAATTAAAATGTGTTGTAGGAGATTGTCAAGTTAACTGACTACTTATATGAAATCTATAAGATATATACGTATATATATTCATATAACTGACTAATTTAAATACTTCGGGAACAATCGTACCAGTTCATATTAGCTGTTCTCAGCTATCGGTAATAATCCCGACTTTTTTCAGTTGCATTTTTCGTACTGTACACATTACTACTACTACTTTCAAAGTTTTGATTTATTAAATGAAGCGTTCATCCTTTATTCGTTTTATCTTAACCTCAGATAGTAATACATGTGAACATAAAAGTTGATTCTGACGTTTAACAAAGAAATAAGAAATATGATTGAAGCTTCAGTTAGTTATCCGCCTGCTTCACTATTACAGCCCATTATGGTAATGAACCAAATAATGGTAATATTAGTGAAAAGATTCAAACAAACAGAGGAAGAAAACAGACCCTTGCTCATGATTATATTTTTCTGATAGATAATACAAATTCCTCATTAAAAACAACACTACGAGTTCTGTGTAACTTCTTCAATGATTCTGACCAAAGTTTGTATAAAATTTTTAATCTGAAATTAAAGTAAGTTGAAATTAACACACTTTTTTCCAAACTCATTCATCACTCATACATGCAAATGTGTTCTGGTTTTCATTCATGACAGTTATATTCATTTTTTGCGCAACAACTGGAAAGTAAGCCCCGTATCAAAGAACAATTCCATACTCAGAATGATAAACATTCATTAGTGACTAGTGTGTGTGTGTGTGTACAGTCTTATTTAATAATATGTATAGATATAATTCCGAATGCTAATTATTCCATTTTAAATCATATAATTTGACTTGTAATTCAATATAGGATTTTGCACAGACGTAGATCTTTTGCCACTCTTTGAAAACTTACATATGGATAACAAAATAATAATACAACGGGTGGAACTGAGTGACCACGGTCTTCGGCATGGATTAACTCGTTGAAATTTACTTCCTCGTGATCAAAAACGCCTATCTAAGAGGCCATCACAGTGAAACTCCCTCAGTAAGATTAAAACTAGTCTCAGTGACGTCGGAAAGTCATCGGCATATTTGTTCTGTGAGCCAGATAGTATATCAGTCAAACAATGATGCGTGAAGTGCCGATTCGAACCATACAGAAACTCAAGTTGTCTTTGAAGTCCTTTTGCCAATGTTTTGTGAGGAAAACTAGACTTAAAACTCGATTTCAATTAGTTACTGAGGTAATGAAAAGTAACTGACAGAAAACATAGTAAAACGGATTCGGTAACAAACAGCATGTGAAGTTCAGACTGATTTTGAGATGCTCATTTCTCAAAAACTCCTCGATCTTAGATCTGTTGCAAAATTTTCAGAGTGGAGTAATGAAGATATGAACGCACCAACAATCCATACTATCTCTCATTCATTAAAAATTAAAACCTATTATTTAAAAATACCCCTATCTAAGTGCCTATCTCTAACTCCTTAGATGACACCAGAGTGACTTATTACCTTAAGTTATGTTTCAGTCAGTGGGGAAATGTCATTCCCTGCTAGTGATTGGTAAGACTTTTTAGAGCTATGTGACAAAATGCATAGCCACATCATCTACCGAATTGCCAAAAACTCCAGACTCTATCATAAAATAACTTACCAACTGACAGTAGTTCGGCTTAAAATAGCCTCTACAATCTATACTCATGTTCAAAAGGTCACTGGATTACCTTATATTTAAGGGATAAGAATCCAAAAATATGACTTATCCTTTAAAATCCAAGAGCTCTGTAACATTTTCGGGCACAACAATTCTTTCAGGGTGGACACTTTAGGCAAATATTGAATCGCAGATAAATGAATTAACACCACCTACTTATTTTGGTAACACTGTGTAGGTGAATGGTTTTCAAGGATCAGATTCACCTAAACATTGTTCTAAAATGTCAGCGTTACAATAATAACCTGGCGTGGAACTAAGGACACTTTCTACGCTTATAGAATCGATTAAATAAGTTACTGTAGAACAAAGTTCATTGCTTACCGCTCTAAGTTGCTTGCAAGTCTCATTAGGTTTGGCTGTTTCACCATATTTTTGATGGGTGCGTACAAGCGCATACATGTTGGCAATAGCTCTGTAAGGAAGTCTAGTCACACGTAAATATGTCTTACATAACAATAGTGCTAAGCTCATAAATACGATTCGCTGCTAAATTTCTTGTTTGTTCCCACTGAGTCTCATTGTTTCTTCCTTGTATCTGTTGGAGCTCCAAGTGATTACGAAGATCAGCTATTTCGTTAGTCATAGAAAGCTTTTCATCTTGTTTCATCTTAAACTCGATGTTATTGGAATAACAAAGATACTTTTTTGAAGTAAAATAACTCTTTATTCTTTTCGTCTATAATTTTCTGGTTCTTTGCATCTGATGCTTCCAAATCCTGACGAATTGACCACTATTTTAAGTGACTTACCTGTAGGTTAGCTTTTAGGGCATCATACCGAGAAATAAGCTCATAAACGTCCGAGAATTCATCAGATATTTTCACAACTGACTCCAGAAACAGACGGTATTTCAAGAGTGATTTGACTTTCTTTTCCTGCTTCTCTCGTAATTTTGTGAAACGCGATATATCTGAGTTTAGACTGTTATTCATGAGACATACACATTTTGTTTACATATCAATCTCATTCTGTTTCTGCTGCTGTAAACTCTTCTCTGACGATATTTTCTTCATTGCTCTAACTCTCTTCTCATCATTGTCTTTAAAGAACTGGTCAAATTTGATGAGGGATTCCTTCAGTTCACATTCTTTCTTTTCAAGTTCTTCTCTTCTTCGTTGAATACACTCCATCTTAACTCGGAATTCCTTTTCACCTAATTCAGGCATCATAAAATAACTGACCTCCTTCTTTGCAGACAGAGCACTCTGTACATTTTTTAGTTCTTTGTATTTTTCCAACAGCTTAGTAGAGTTTGTTAAGTTTCTGTCTTCATTTGCCGGCGCATTTCTTAAGAATCATTAGGTAATAACAGGGACATTTACACTAGTAGTTTCTCGTGAAAAACAGTTTTCAAATATTCTTCTATGGAAAATTCTGCATTCTTCAGAGCTTCTGCTGTTGATTGCGATTTCTTCGACTGGGATCCCATTAAAAGTTTGAATGTTTCAGTTGCTAGGCAATGACCAAAATTGAAATAGTTGAAAATTGAATAGTTAAAAGCAAGATAGGATTTAGAGGCCCCAATATCTTTGTATATTTTTTGGCAACTACTTCGTAACAGTGAAGTAATAGTCGTCGCCCCTCGTTAGATTTCCACGTTGTCAGTCACTTCACTGCCCTATCTTAGTTTCACGAGATGTGTCGTGAGCTGATGTTTATATTTATCACACTGAATAGAGACCATCACTGGCAGGATTTCTCTGGTCCGTTGGTATTCCTTTTTTGGTACGATACACACTCCCTTGTCCACTTCTTAACGTTGCATCGCTGATTTTGACAAACTTATTCTGTAGAGATTATTATAGCTGAAGCATTTTATCCAGAATATGATAACTTATAGCAGTTACTAATCATGAATATACTAATGGTTTTGAGAATGAACAGGTCCAAGTGAGTTTCTGGACGAGTTGTGTAATGGTAATTTGAGTTTGTGACCGAAATTATTTCAGTGAATGTGCCTTTTAGTTTTCGTCCTACTTCTGGTGCTCAGTCAAGATATTTCCATCTGTGGTAGTTTGTTGCACTGTTTTCACACGTATTCTAAGCACTTTATTAGCCACAAAGCTATCCCCACCATTCTTTTGCCCTATATCACCGGTGAACTGCAATATCAAGTAAAATTGACGAATCTTCAATGATGAGTGTTTGTCAGTTTTCCTGTTGAGTGAGCAGATCCAAGGTCTGTCATCCATGTGGATCGTGAACAGTCTGTTTTCAGTCATGTGCGAATGTTTTTTATTGGCTAAGTAGTTTACCAACAACTCTACTAAACCTAGAATGCCTTACTTTTGTGAGATCAAACCTTTTAGAAAAGTTTTCCATTGGTCTCCAGCCACCGCCGACAAACTGATCTAAGGATAAATCCATAGCCTTCTCGGATGCATATAACGTTGGTGTGTAGGATGCTCCTGCATCAAGACAAGGTTCTAACATTCACCAAATCCTTTTTCATTTGGGCTGTGGAAACCGTTGTCTGATTTGACTAGTAAAAGTCCTTTCGTCTACTCCTAGCACATCAGCGAAGGCTTCAATGGACTGGCGGCAATTAGATTTCAGATTTTGGTAAAATTTAGTCAACCCAATAAGGCTTCCGAGTTGAGCGAGTACAGTAGGTAGCGGGTACCGCCAGATAGAATCCACCTCGTCGTACATTGATTTTATCCCTTCATTATCGTTGATATGCGCTAGGAACACTTTTGTCACTGCCCCATTAGCTCACTTACTCCTAAAAGCAGTTCTGCAGTCTTTTTCAGTTTCCGTAACAGTAAGTGAATATAGTGTTCATTTCCTTTTATACTCGGGCTGGCGATGACCAGGTCCTACATGTAGGTATGGGCAGTTGGTTCATGATTTCTTTACACATATTTACAGCATCTGCATCTGCACAAACTCATACTTTTCGAACGAGGTGGTTATGATTGTTTTGGAATATCTTACTCGCCCCTCAGAACATAGCGATGGGCTCAGACTAAGTCCGTTTCTGTCCTGAATGTAAGGTACTGAGTGTGCATCCGTGAACGTCTGCTCACTTCAGACACTGTGGTCGTCAGAGAGACTATAGTCAGTGTTATTTTTGTCGGGTGTCATTTGCAGTGGTGCAACCCACTGACTACTCAACTGACAGCATATCCTCTCGACCACTTTACGAATTCTGCCTTCGTTATTTTTATTTGCCTCGGACTAGCCTCCATCTCCTCGCGAAAGATAGAGGGCCTTATATCATTAGCGAATATGCAGTTTTCAGACTAACTATGGATGTTTGTGCGCGAACCACATGTCAATTTATTTGAAGTTTAGGAGTGCATCGGTAAGGGATCAGTTCGTGGTTGTTTGCTAAAACCCAACTCCTCCATATTTTTCGCCTGAGTCATCGATACGTCTTTCATCGTGTCGTCGTTCGCTGTTCAGAGAAGATAAAAAAAACTATCAGAAGTATGATCGTGATTTATTGTTATAACATTTATTCTTAGACCTTGTGTATAATAACCTTGTTGATTACATGTTGGCGTAAGAATAAAGGATTCTCGGGTTGCCGATCAGTGTTCTGGTTTTCCGCGTTGGTTAATACAAAGTGTTTCTGAAAGTCTTTGAGGGAGACCGTCAGGTCCAGCGTAGCAAGAGCTGGACATTGATAGTTTATGAGACCTGACTGACACCACAGTTATATCTGGGTGACTCTCCGCTATCTATTTAGGTCTTCTAGTTGACACTAGTAGAGATTAGATATAGTGACCAGTCCTTCAGCCGCCAGTATACTTGGACATCTCTTCCACTCTCAATCGACTCTTCGTGCCTTTCTAAGAAGTCTGCGCCGATAGATTACAGGTCTAGATCAGCAGTCGTGAAAACTTGCGGTGAAGCGTCAGTGTTTTCTGCTAGACTGCCACGATCTGTCTTTTAATTGTGGCGGGCTTTTGCCGTCTTGCATCGACTTTTTTTCGCTATTGTGCTGGGTACAGTTTCTCTATCAACAAAGTTTATAGTGAAGTTTATATCCTTGATGTAAACCAACAAGCTATCCAGGAAGTTTTCCCTAGTAGCGTCTGTCTGAGAAACGGCCATTTTTCTCCCCATTACTTGTGAGTTGTTTAACGATTGAAACGTGATTTTTTGCATTGCTTTGATTGTTTGCCGAACTATCGGTGATATCAGTAGAATTGCCCTGTTGATCCGGTTTGTTTATCGGCTTCTTGTTTTCAGAAGTTGTTTGTTGGGAGATTACCCTGCTTACTCCTCCAGGAGGCGTACTCTTGGTACCGAAACCAACAATAAACTACTGTGTAGTACTGGAAGCATAAAAATTAAGGCAGCCGATACCAGTCTGGTGCAGTAAGTTCATTGGGAAACACCAGACAGAAAATGAGTTTACAAAATTTCTATGATTTGTTACATACTGGGTAAAAAACCTTGGCCTGTTGTGTACACATGTACTACGCTTGTTCACTATCCTCATACTGACATGATTCAGAGTACTATTCCTCTGGAGCATCATACTCCACTCGGAGATGAAGTTTGAAGTCGGTATACATGAACAAATGAACTCGACGGGAAAACATAGATAGCCAACAAAGGTTAATGGAACAAACATTCTTAGCAAAGTCGCTTCTGAATGGAAGCTGATAGAGAGTGGCAATGTAGTTGAAGATTGAAGGATTAGTTCATGGTTGTTTACTCAAACCCAACTCCTCCATATTTTTCGTCTGAGTCACCGATACGACATTCATCGTCTCATCGTTCGCTGTTCGGAGAAGATAAAAAAACTATCAGAAGTATGATCGTAGGCGCGCTGCTGAGCAAGAGAGGTGGTAATGTCTAGTTGAACTCACGGAAAGGTTTTCAATATTTTAATAATAATATATTTCTTCCTGTTTATGCAGGAACATACCACTTGTAAAGGCATGGATAAGTTATTATATAAATTACACAAATTGATGTATGATGAATTTACAGTTTGGTTGTTCTTTCTGACATTAGAGTCAGACGGAACAGTCTGCTATAAAGTCTGTTTGTGTGGCACATAAAGAGATATAGAGATATTGTCTTCGCATTAAAAAAACCCAGACATCAGATGAATGTAATACAAATATCTGGGGAAAAAAGCTTGAAGTCAATCCTCTTACATAACTTTGTTGTGAACAGCACCCTCGGCTCAAAGTTTATTGATGTATTATGTTGAGATCAGTGATATATTTATTCTATTTTTTCAGTAGTCTTATCGTAGTTTTATAACAGGAAAGAAATTTGATCGGGGATGCGAAAACTAGATAAGGTCATGTGAAGTTGTTTTACTGCATCAAATGGTGCTGAGGTCGGTTCCAGAATTCTCCATTTGCTCCATTTGTGTCTGCATGGCGGACTGCATTCGTAAGTTCAGAAAAAATGTTGAAAACTGTTTGAAAACCAGTTGCTTCTTCATTTCAGATCATGAATACTCATTTACAGCATGTTCGCCAGCGTCTTCAAATGGTAGAATTGGATCGTTCATGGAATTTGGGTGGTTATGAGGTAGATGGTTTGGAATTAATCCTCATTTCAGTTTAGATGCAGGGTTGTTCGACCTCGACCAGAAGATGAATAGGAGTATCAGAGTACCAAAAAGAGAAAGTATGTGAACATTAAAAGGACATTAATGGGTGACTCTAAAGAATAGCGGCCCAAACCGAAACGACCTTTTAACGCAAAAATGACCTTGACAGGGACAACTTCGGCCAATGAGAAGGCTCAAAAAGGAAGGCGCATAATTGTAAAAAACGGTTTATATAAAAGTAATTCAATCATAATAAACAGTTACAAAGGATGGCGCTCGCGTATATGTCTCAAAAAAACCTCCCAGTTTCTCATGGGAGTCTTCATAGTCGTATGAAACCAGTTTCGGTACATAAATTCATCCAGGTAACTGTAAATCATGGGATTTCTCGATCCATTAACCGCTCTTATACGTCTTTTTAGACGACTCCTAAAACTTTCAATCGAACTGGTGTGTGTTCCATCTAAAGGATTCCGGAAACCGTCCGTATGATTAACAACATGATGAATGTACCCATGATTCGATAATTGACGGTATCCACTCCATTCATCTGTATGAATAGTCGTCCCCGGCAACACCAAACGCTTCATAATAGGCACTAATACTGCTGCACTGAGACTGGGAATCGCTTCTATATACCCTTTGCGCAGTGTCGTGTCGTAGATACCCAGTATCCACTACTGGTTTGCTTGTAATCTCCCACGGTTGTATTTCCTTTTTATAAGTACAGTCTCATCGATATGGACTATGCTGCCGACTCCTCCGAGAACTTGAGTCAGGGTGTTCATTTTTCAGGAGGAAACATCTCTGCAGTAGTTGTACCATTGCACTGCTGACACCTCTGAATTTTCTGTTTCATAAGCTGTAGCTGTGACTGCTCTTTTCAGGACCCAGAAGTTACAGATCATTAAAATTTTCGTCAAAGGTAGTTTAGACC